AAAGATTTAAAAGTTTCTTGCAAAATTAATTTTTTTTCACTAACAATTTTTCGAATATCGCGAGTAAGAGTAGTACGTGGAACCCGGGTGGCAGCCGGATTCAAAGTCGTTTGAGCAAAATTTTCATACAAATCACTATCACCAAAACTAAATGGAAGAGATGAGGCAGAAACAAATTCAGCTAAATGACGCATATGATTATCATGCGAGTAATGAAAAAAAAGGTGGCGTACATGTACCGGTGCCTGATGCAGAGCTGCTGTTCGCCTATATTTTTAAAGCTCGACCGCAAGTGTACGGCTTCGCTCGTAGTATGTGGCAAGCAAGGTCGTATCCCAAGAGACCAAATAATTAATATATCAAGTACAAGATTATGATAGTGTCAACTTTATTTAGACGACCGTAATTGAGATTGATTAACTAAACTAAGAAAATAAATAAAAGGAAATAAAGCAAAAATAAAGATCTAGCTAGATCAACGCGTGAGAAATATATGGGAACGATAGATTCTAAGACGTTGGGTTCAATTAATAGTTAGGATTCCTTCAAAAATATCACAACTAAATGTTTCCTTTATCTACCCTATAAGACGATCACAAATTTAGCTTATCGTCCCTCTCGAGATCGATAAAACCGTAGATTAAATCACATATATTAGTGTCTCCACTCAACACATGCAATTTAACTCCAAAAAGATTAAAAGATCTAAAATCCTCACAATTACCTACTAATCTCGATTCAAGCAAGTAAATTATGCCAAATATTAAAGACCTAATATTGAACTCATCTCTCGAATTATGAACAATATTGTCAAACATGTAAAAGAATTGATCAAGTTCTAAACATGGAATAAGAACAAAATACTTGAATAGGGTTCAAAAGAAAAACAATCAATTATAAATAAATCATCCAAAATCCCAACATATTAATCTACTACCAAGTCTTAGAATCAATAAACCTAGCTACTCATATTCGAATTCAAACACATAGACATATTAGAAATCGACATGATCAATAAAAGTTCAAGAGGAAAGAAGAAATAAAAACTAGGAATCTTGTCGATCTTTCAATCTCCTTGATCCCTTCGTAGTTGATCCTCCTTTTGCTCCTCAATTGCTTCTCTTGTGTGTTCTTAGGCTCCTCTCCTTGCGTATTCACGTTCTAGGGCTCAAAATAAGGTAAATATGCCTTTTTATATGTCCAAAAGTCCTCTCCTTATCCAAAAAGGCAACAATTAAAAATCAGCATCCGCACGCGACACGGCCAGACTGCCCGTGTCACTGGCCGTGTCGCAAACCGTGTCGTATAAACAGCTTCAAATTCATTCAGTCAGGTGACACGGCCACTTGACACGGGCATGATGCCCGTGTCTCTGCCCGTGTCACACCCCAGCATGTACACTTTTGTCTGTTTTGCTCGTTTCTTCCATTTTTCTCCTTCGTGCATCAATCCTTCATCATCTCGGGAGTCCTAGGTACTCAACGTGTGCCTCCAATAGCCACAAGCTCTACAAATATGTGAAAATATCTACAAAACAAACACGTGTAATACCTTTTCAATAAATAGAGAATTAAAGCACAAATATGCAATTTATACACAATAATGCAATGACTAAGCTCTAAATCCTATATAAATATGGTGTAAAATTACACATGAACAGCTGACACTGGGGAATTGCGTCTGTGCCGTGTCGATTCCCAACGTATGTGGATGACAACTCTTTAGGTGTCGGGTCAAGGATCCGTACCCATTGCCTTTTTTATAATGATACTGCTTCTTGTCATTGGACGGACAATGGTTGCAGACTTTTTGCGGATTTGGAATCTTCTTGTAATGTCGTTGGAAGATGTCGGACCAGGCTTTGCCACCACCACCCAGACCACGACCATAGACAGAGGATGGTTCGTGCCTGTCTGGCTCATGCTGCGTCTCTTGTTTGGTCTCCTCCGGGCTCGTTCCAAATAGATCATCTAAATGGTCGTGATAAGGCTGCTGCATGGGCTCTTGCTGTTCGGACTGAACTGAGTCAAACAGGGCTTCTATTGTTGCTTCATCAAGATCATTTGGGATAGCAAGAATATTCACATATATGGATGGACTGACAAATTCAGAAAGTGGAGGTCTCGAAGAAGACGTGCCGACATTTCTCCGTTTATTTCCGGAAGTCGAGCCACGACCACCACCCCGATAACTTGACATTTTAATATAAAAAAAAAATATAAAATATGATGAAAAGATATGTATAAAAAATATTTAGAATAAAAAATAAAATATATATAAATAATATAGAATATAAAATGTAAAAAATATTTTTTTTATGTATATATATATATATATATATATATATATATGTTTTTGTTACC